TTTTGTTATAGCACCACTAGAGATCCCGAGACCTCTCACAGTTGTTGTTTTTTTTACCATATCCTGCTCATGCTGGGGAAGACTAAATTCTCAAAGACCTCACAACCTTCAGCCAGACCTTTACAACTATTTTTCTGCCATTCCACAACTTTGTTGCTAGGAAAACCTATATGGCCTACACATCACCATTTCCCTCTGGCCTTACCTCTAGTTGAGCCTTAGACATGTACATTTAGTTTAGTTCCAAATGGATATTCGTACAAATTCGGACATTCAGATGCGAACGAATCTGAATGTCCATTTAACGAAATTCAGATCCATCCAAATTTCATTCAAAACTAGACTAAATTGCACACGTGACTGTTCTCTGGCCAATCAGATTTTTTTTGGCTGTTTGGGTTTGTATTACAGGCAAGGTGATGTAACTTCGTTCCAAAATGAAAATTCAGATTTTTCCAAAACAAAACTTTGGATGGATCCAAATTCCGAATAATGAACAAATCGAATTTCTGATCCGAAATCAGAAAAACAAAATAAATAAAAATTTGAATCGAAACTATACACTAAACACATTTTTTGTGGGGTTACATGTCTACTGAGGACTCTCAAGAACCTGGCTATTCAGAGGTTGGAATACAGATTCTCTAAGCACCAGCTCCTGTTAAATTATTTGAAAAACTGCTGTGGACATAACAACTTAATAACTGAGGGATACCTAAATCAGTGCTGACTTGAAATTAAAGGTAGCTCTAATCTTTAATACATATTTGAACAAACTGGACATTACTCGGATACAGCTGGAAAGGGTTCAAGGACATTGGGTCCCCTTTAACCTGACCAACTCGGGCCCAGAGACACATTATGCCTTATCCACTTCTACGCTGTAAAAGAGCAGCTTATGCAGTGTGCCTGGGATTAGGGTTCCCTGGAGTTTGATGGAATCCAACTTTTCTACTCGACCTCTATTGCCAAACCCTCTATTGCCAAACCCTCTATTGCCAAACCCTCTATATGAGAAAATGCCTCAAACCCTTACTTAAACAGATTAGGCATAAAGGAGGAACATACAAATGGGGGAACCCCTTTTATCTTCACATCCACCTGAACAACGCTTTGTTCCGTATACAAAACTCTTCAGAAGTCTAAGCGGCATACAGATTCCTGAGGATAGAACTCCTTCCCGTCACTAACTGGATCAGAGGTCATCCACCACTGCTGGCTCAGCTTGTACCACAAAGGTCCAGATCACTCTGGAGACGACACAGGGGCAAAAAGACAGAATTTCCTGAACCTGTAGTGGCTGTCACTGAACATGAATAAGATCTCCTAATGCATTACCCAGTTCTTTCGGGTTGTACATGCCTCTCTTCACTCAATGCCTATTAAAAATAACTAAATGAGTTCTATATCTTTTGCATCTAACTTACCAGGATCATTTTATCCTTATACCTTATCCTGATGCCTTGATACTTCCAGTGGTTCGCATGGGCTTTCATTGATGATTCATGGGGTCGATACATTCCAAACTCCCCTCAGAAAGGCCCTACTGAGCTTAATCTGTTTTGCATATTCTGACATTTGCAAGTACCCTGTGATGGAACTTATCCCCATTGTGTTTTCACAACCCAGACAATTCTCGTCATGACCCACCACTGAGACAGAGCATAGATTGCTGGGATCTTCTATCTCTCCCCAGGGAGATATTGAATTAAATGAAAAGCCTATCCACTTCACTTTATCATAGGGAAGAAAAATTTAGGAAAACCTGGTATTACTGGACACATTTCTGATCCTCTCCAGAATACGATGCCATTATGTCAAGTTGAGCTGTCTAATGTCTCACTTTGCATATAATCGCTCATAGGAAATCTTTATCCCTTCCCCCCTTTCAACTGCTTTGCCCCTCTTTTCCACTGTAGGCTCCCTTCATTTCATTCTGTCCTTTTCCCTGATCAACTCTCTCTACTTTTCTCTCCCTCCCATATTATCAATGTCTTTTCCATGCCTATTCTCTTTGTCCCTTTACAACTGTCAACTCCCCTCTACCTTCTTTTTCATTTTTGTACTCCTCTCTCCTGTCCAAGGTCGCCCTTCCCCTTTTACTTACCTACCTTCCATCACCTCCCCTATTCCCCCACGGCAGTTTGTTAAAATGGTGGTTTCAGAGGCTGAGGCCCAGTTAAGAAACTGTTGCCTGAGGTTTGCCATTAAAAGCATGTTGGATACACATACCACTATTGTTTTAGGCAGTTTCCACGAACAGCCATGTTTTGCTAAGAATATGCTGCCTCAGTGCTGCTTCTCACATGCAATGGGAGGAATTCATATAAACGGACAAAATCTGGAGCAGTTGCCCATAGCAACTAATCCGCTTATTTCTTCAGTTTGTTCAGTTGAGCTTTGAAATGAAAGATAGAACTTGATTGGTTGCCATGGGCAACTGCTCCACATCTTGTCTGCTCCAGGTTTTAAAAATTCCCCCCAACATGTTTTAATAAATGTATAAGACTACTTATTTCTCTGTTTTCCAACATACTTGTTAAGTGAATGTATGTACCTGTTTCTCTGGGCTTCTTTCTACAAAAATATATAAAAAAAGAAGAATAAAAAATGCATAATATAATCTACATGCTGAAAAGTCTAGTGAGTAGCAAAACACCCTTGGTAAATATATATATTTCTGAAATATGACAAACACATGCGCAACACACATTGCCGATAAATTTACCAGTTACTAAATAATCACTTAGTTAGCAAGATTGTTTATTATTTGATTTTTGTTAACATTTACAGAAAAGTGTACCATTTGAGAAGGGCAAAGGGCATCTATATGTATTTGTGCATTTTATGTCCACATTTATTAATTGGTCAACCATATAGAAAGCATTTCTTAGAAAAAAATAAATGATTGTAGGTACAAAAACTTCATCCCTGAGATATACAGTGTCACATTACAACACTCCAATAAAAGAGATGGTTTCAGAGACAGTTATATTTCATTCATGACTTTATACTATGACCGCCAGTTACAAAATTCTCATTTTTTAACTGACACCCTTTTCTACAATAGCATGAAAAATAAATCCATCCCAGCAAAAGTAATCCAAAATGAAAGTGATATGAGTAATATTCATGTGAAAATACAGGAAAGAATGTGATATGTTGTGAAGTTAAGAAAAGTGAGTGGTCAAACATGGTGAATTGGCTTCCAGGTCATAAAAAGGAAAAAGTCCCTTTTTGGGGACAGAAGTGTAAGTGGAGAAGATAATTAGACATTTGAAGGCTAAAACCAGAGATTGATTTTAGCATTAGGTGGTCTTTTATGGCACACATTAGCATACAATTGGTGGTGTCTTCCCATAGGGGGAGCCTCGCAAAATTGCTCAGCCTGCTAAGGCAAACTGAGATAATGGTGGCAGAGACTGTGGGACAACTTCAAAAACAATTAGGAAATGTCACTGACTGCAATGTAAGGAGAAACCATACCATACTTCATCCACCAATACTGAGGTTTTACTTCTGCTTAGGAATGAAAGTGAAATTTATTTCCCTTTCCCTGGACCCCTTTGGATTTTTTTTTTAAGTAGTCTTCAGAGTATTTCTCTTCTTTCCTGGTGGTGGGTGATCCATCTTCCTAGGCTAACGTATGAGCATTGCAAAGTCAAGGAGCACTGTGGCTCCAGGCTACGTGATGACGCATTTTAAGCTCACAGAACGCGGCTGGAAGACACTGGCAGTCATTGAACCCAGAAGACGACCATTGCTTGACATTGAAGCTGTAAATCTGTGAGGGACAGTACCAGATATAAAGTAGTTAATAAACAAAAGCAGGTTTTTAAAAAATATATTTTTAAAGGTGCAAGGCAGCATATTTAAAAAAGCTGAATAAAACCTGGAGTTCCATTTAAAAGGCTACATTAACTCAAACCTGACATTTCAGTTCTTCAGGGTTGCAGCAATGTTATATCACCAGCTGACTTCAAGGCCTTTGTCAAGGCCCTTTCGACTTGTGTTAATGGCATCAGTTGACATCAGTTTTGATCAGTTTTGCCAGCTGCATTTGACATCACTCTGACCTGCATTTGACCTGCTTCAAGCGGTTTTCAATTCTCATAGACTTGTATGGGAATGCAAACCCCACTTGAAGTGAACAGAAGCTCATCAACACCAACACCCTTAATATAATAACTTTGTGCAGAAAAATCACCCCACTAGGGTCTCTGAGAGATGACAAGTGGTTAAAGCCAATGCTGTTGACTGCAGATGGAGATGACCAATAATAATACCAAAAATACTACTAAATATACAGCTAAATACAACTTCTTGTACACAACTGGCAAACACTGGTTTCAGATATTTTACCATTTGGCAAGGTATGTGATTTAAATCTACAGCTTAGGTTATCTTAATTAAAAATACATGGTGTTCCTGCCATGAAGATCGTTCTTCAGGCACTCTCTGTTACTGGGTGACAACCTTCTTCCATTTATTCTTCTGCAGTTTCACCCTGTCACATGTTCCCTGGTGGAGACTACTAGTGGTCCTGCCAACAAATATTGTGCTGGCAAGGTTCCCTGTTATTACAATCAAGAATCCAGTCCAGAGCAATGATGTACTGGCCTTTTTCAGTAAGAGTTTAACTCTACTTTAAGGCATAAATATGACAATGCATCCATAAAAGGTCACACTAAGGTAACATAGAAATCTAAAATAGGTTTTCCTAGAAATAAACATGCAGCATCCTGGCCCCCCCCCAAGTAAGCATGAAAGTCTGCTTGCTGCAAAATGGATTGCTATCAACTGGGAAAATCCTCATTTATTTGATGTTGGCATTTAGATTACTTTGTTATGCATACCATTAGACAGATGGCAGTGACTATTGTTTTTTGGAAGTGACCATTCTGCATGAACAAAGCATGCAAGCCTTGCTATGAGGTTGAAACTTTTTAGCCCAGAAATGTGTTTCTTGTTATTAATCTAAACCTTTCTATTTTTTCTAGCACCCTGTGGATACAATGAGACAACAGAAGATGGCAAATTAGTGCAGCATCCCCCATGCAAGACTGGAGCATGGATAGTGCCAGCAATCATGGCATGTTACCTCTTAGTTGCTAATATTCTTCTGGTAAACCTCCTGATAGCAGTGTTCAAGTAAGTTTGTCACTGAGTTTTTGAGCCCAGATGTAAAGTAGCAATAAAATTGGCAGAGTATGCAAAAACATAATCATGTGCGAGTGGAATAACATTTCTAACAATTATGCTTAAACTATACAGTACATTTCAATAATGGGGTCAGCAGGAACATAATGAGTCATTAGTGCTGTAGCAAAATGTCATACCACCACTTTTGTTTTCAAATCTGCATTAAATAATGATTAATCTGTATCTGATTAGTTCCCATTTATAAATAAGCCCCAATGTATGATTTTCCTGTTATTTTCTTATCAAAATTAACATTACATTAATAAATGCATGAATTACTTTATCAGTAGCATTCTGCACCTCAATATAATGATGGTTGTTCCCAAACCTTCAGAGGTACCCCAACCACAAAAATGTTAATACTTAAATTAGAACTGTGGCAAGACTATGGATGTTCAACTATATACAGGTGAAACTTGAATAATTAGAATATCGTGCAAAAGTTTCACAAATGCAACTTAAAAGGTGAAACTAATATATGAGATAGACTCATTACATGCAAAGCAAGATAGTTCAAGCCGTGATTTGTCATAATTGTGATGATTATGGCTTACAGCTCATGAAAACCCCAAATCCAGGTGCTGCTTGTGCACCTTTTTCTTCCACACTTTTCCCTTCCATATAACTTTCTATTAATGTGCTTTGATACAGCACTTTGGAAAACATCCAACTTCTTTTGCAATTACCTTTTGAGGCATTCCCTCCTTACGGAGGGTGTCAATGATGGTTTTCTGCACAACTGTCAGGTCAGCAGTCTTTCCCATGATTGTGATTCCTACTGAACCAGACTGAGAGACCATTTAAAGGCTCAGGAACCCTTTGCAGGTGTTTTGGCTTAATTAGCTGATTAGAGTGGGACACTTTGAGCCTAGAATATTGCACCTTTTCACAATATTCTAATCTTCTGAGATTGTGGATTTGGGGTTTTCATGAGCTGCAAGCCATAATCATCACAATTATGACAAATCGCGGCTTGAACTATCTTGCTTTGCATGTAATGAGTCTATCTCATATATTAGTTTCACCTTTTAAGTTGCATTAGTGAAATAAATGAACTTTTGCACAATATTCTAAGTATTCGAGTTTCATCTGTACAGTGTATATATTTTTAACAAGCAGTAAATATGTTTCAAAACAAGCCCTCCCTGATCTCTGTTGCTGCAGACACTGTGGGCCAATTCATCCCTAAAGAGAGGAGATGCAGTGAAGTCCTTCAAGCTGGGACTGTTCCTGTGCGCCTGCTCTGTGTTTACATTACTAACTGCAGGCAGGAGAGGGGGGGGCAAAACTATTTAAGGATGGAAAGCAAAAAAAATTCTCAACTTTGAGAATTAATTACTCCCTGGTGTCTGCAACTACAGAGCTCATTGAGGGTGCTTGTTAAGGCGTTTTTCCTCCTTGTTAAGAATATATAAGTAGTGGAATGTTCATAACCTGTCTACGGTTCTACTTTGAATGTTATCCTTGTGTACATATTTCTACTATCAATTGTTTTTTTAAAGTTTGTTTAAGTGTTATAGAGTAGTATAAAGCATGTGAGAATTAGCTTCAAATGGTAGTGCATTAAGGACATAGTCCACTTGCAAACTTCTTTTTAGGGCTTCCTGCCCACTTTTATTAAAAGTTCACACAAATTTTTCCTCACAGGGATTTCTCCAACATTTTAACACAACTTCACTTGTCTCAGCAAAATCACAGTTGTCAAAGTCCAGCTGACTCCAGGTTGTCACTTTTACAAAACTTCTGTGACATAGGCTGTATCCCACACACTGAGGCTGGTTCCAGGATGGAGCCCTACCAAGTCTTGGATATAGACCTCCTCTGTCTGCCAGCTGGAACCCTGAACATCAGCCAGCAGCCTCTTCATAAGGGTTGTGCTCAATCATTGGGTGCTGGTCACTACTAGCGCTCCGACCCAGGAATGGAGATTTCATCCCTCCCAATTCTCTTAGAAATCTCCGGTTCCAGGATCCCAACTATAATCCATAAAACCCCAAAATAATTGTCTCGATTCTCCAGCTAGCTGGTCAGCCTCAACTGATCCTTATCTGAATAAAACATCTTCGGGCTTTAGTATAATTTCTAAGCCTTCCCACCCCTTTTACCACCCCAGCCAGCAAGTACTTAACAGTGTGCTGTAGTAGTATGGTGCAGTAGTATGAGAAAAATATGTATATTATTTTAATATTATAATATTAAATAATTGTTAGTGTTTTTATGCACAATTACTCTGTAAACAATACAAACCATACAACAATACAAAAACTCACAGATAGGGGGAATGCAAAGGAGATCTGTGACTAGCAACAGCAAAATTCCAAAGCATGATCCTGTGCATCTGACTTAGGCTCTTCTGGAATGGAGACATCAGACAACCTCCCTAGTGGGTCCTTGTTCCCACCCTTGGGCCCCATAGCTGTTATAGCTTTAGTTATGCCACTGTTTGGTATGCATATTTGCTTTTAAGTTTTAAGAAGGTATTTTAATGTATTTTTTTTTTGGCATTGATTTATTGCAATAACTCTTCATGATTAGTGTACACAGAGCTCAATCCCAATGGTAAAATAGGACATAATTTGATTTCCTTTTCTTTTGGCTTGATATATTAAAGGTTATGGATGTATGCAGATGCATCATTTGTGCACGGACAACCAAATTGTATCCTTGCAGTATTGACTATGCTCTGGCGATTTTTAATTGACGCACAAAAGATATGTGTCACCTGGCCATCTCTGAAAGCCCTTGAGCCAAAGAATCAACATGACAACCAGGCAACTAGCATTTTCAGAAGGAGCTCCACTTCATATTTTTCTCAAAACATTTCCTTCACAAAGTATTTTCAAACAGAACTTTTTTAGCTTTGGAGAAAGTGGTGAAGGATTGGAACATGTGTTGGGTTTGCATTGCTGTCCAGGACTTAGTTTGGAAGATTTCCTGTCACTTCCTGTCCTAATTATAATGTTGTCATCAAGACAGGAAATTAGGGGAAATCTCCAACAGAGACAAAGACAACAAATAAAAACTTTTTTTTCTAGTAGAGTGGGAACGGCTAGAACTCCTTTCAGCTTTTTAGTGCTCTGTTCCCATTGCAGATTTTTCCTTACTTCCTGTTCGGGAATTACATTGTAATCAAAACAGAATGTGGGCGGAAATTTCACTAACGATGCCTCATACAGCAATAAAAACCAGGCATAGGTTCTAACTCAATCTCTATCCAAAACAAAAATGAAAAACGTTTGGGTTGGTGGTTTACTTTATTTATTCACGTGTACATGTTAGCAAGTGGGACAAAAATTGTAACAACCTTCTTGAAAAGAAAAAAAAAATCACCCAAATCCTAAGTGCAGTAGCCCACAGCAAGCAAACAGTCATTCTTTTCATCTAATGTTCATAAAAAAAAACTGATTGGATGTTATCAGGTAATGTATTTCTCTTTTGCACTTTTAAATAAGTTGGTAATTGATCTCTGAGTACAGTTGTAAATGTCCCAATAGTTTCTGAATGTATGGTCTTGGTAAATAAGTAATCATTTCAGCTGGTTCTGATATTTCTCTTTCCAGCAACACATTCTTTGAAGTCAAGTCGATATCAAACCAAGTTTGGAAGTTCCAGCGATACCAGTTGATAATGACATTTCATGAAAGGCCTGTCTTGCCTCCTCCTTTGATTATTTTTAGCCATTTCACTATGATATGTAAGCACCTGTGCTGTCGTTGGAGAAAACATGAAAGTGACCAAGAAGAAAGAGACTATGGATTAAGTAAGGCTTTTACTATAAAAAATATATTTATTCTGTATAAGCACATAGCACTCTATATGAACACATTCATCCTGCATGATGGCAAAAAAAGCCACAATAATTGTCTAAAGAACTCTAAATCAATGAAACATTGTGACATAAAATATTAATTATTAGAGTTTTACAACCATCTCCCCCTTCCTGTAACTGGCCAGTAGCTTGCAGTACCATGGGCACTGTCTGTAATGACAAGCCCTCCATTATGGATTTAAAGGTATACAACAATCCGACTTGAAAACTATGAGTATGACAATACATGTATATACAATATGCCACTATTCACATGACTCCTTCTGATTCTAACATCACACCATGTCAAATTCTCTGGTTCTGAATAGGCTGATATTGTTTATGGGCCCCTTCACACTATATTGATCTGTTACGATGTGTTCACATGTGATATTCTCCGCATTATTGTGATCTGTGTGATTATTAAGTCAGTGCATTCATTAAGAATGGGCTGCCAACACACAGCAATGAATGATCAAAAGGGCCTTGCAGCATTTTATGTAACACAGTGAACCACTATGCATGGTGTACAAGGTGCTGTGCCTTGTGGCAGCGCACATTGAAGCAAGTGTTCTATAGCACGTTACTGCAACGCATATGTGAGAAGCTAGCCTTCAGGTTGGACTGGATTCTTATGTGATTCATGGAAACAGGATGGGTTTTAAACACTTCCATTTAAAATGAGCTCAGATGAGCAGATTTGCTATGGAAAAAAGTGTGTAGTAATTAACGTTGTCCTAGTGCAGCTTGGCACATCTTTTGATGCTGAGTTTTCAGTATACCAGAGGATTTCCTTGACTCATTGGCACAGCTGGAAAATTATTATCTTTACATTGATACTGGAAAGTTATTTAAATTTGAAGCCCAAAACTAAGCTTATCTAGCGCAATATTATGCCAAACGATATTTCTAGATTAGGGCTGGATTCACACCAAATGACTTGGGGCTAGCTGGCACACAGATTGTTGTGGTGTGCACTCAAAAAAAGGTACCGCATGCAGTACTTTTTTTTTTTTAGTACAGCAAGCCACGGCGTGGCACAACCGCATCTCCTTAACATTGCTAGTAGGCCTTTAAAGTGACACTAAACGCAGGAGTTAAATCTTAAAAATACATTTAAGTACTCCACCTATTAACAAAAATGTATCTTATTTGTGTATGACTCAGCTGTTGATGCTGAAATCATCTCTGAATTCATGCTGACATTCTCTTTCCTTCTGGAGGGTGGCTACATTTGTTTCCCATGATCCCTGTGTGTTTTGTAAAGTAGCCACCACTCCCAGCTCGCTCCTGTGATGGACTACTATCTCAACATTTACGGGGTTATTCACGAAGGAGCCGAAGGATCCAGATGTAGCTTCTGCTGATCCTTTGGCTCTCTTCAGCCGCCGGAGCCCTTCGAACCGAAGGGCTGCTGTATGGGCTATTCACTATAGCCCGTACAGCAACTGAAGGCGGCCAAGCGGGTCAGCCAAACCAAAGGCATATGCTTCGGCTCGAGTGAACCTAACCTTTTTTTCTTCACTATTTTCTTTTCTGCTCGGTACTACGGAGCTACCGAGCAGAATAGCCGATTCACTCACTGACGTTTGGCCCCTATGTGAATAGGGCGAACGGCAGTGAGTGAGCTGCCGGAGCTTTGACTCAGCTGATTCAGAGGCAGAGCATGTTCGGCTGACCGAAGGCAGCCGATGTATGGCTGAAATCAGCTGTACAAGCCAGAAGTGGATAGCCGAACAGCATTCGGCTCACTTCACTTTGGCTGGGTTATTCACTCGGCTGCCTTTGGCAGCTTTGTGAATAACCCCCTAAGTGTACTAATTGGTATTGAAGTTAAAGTCTATCACGGGAGCGAGCTTGGACCTGTGGCTACTTTACAACACACACAGGGACCATGGGTAACAAAGGTAGCCACCCTTTCAGAGATGATTTGAGGAACTACAACTACAGAGTGATACACAAACAAGATACATTTTTATTATTAATTAAAGTGACATTTAAAGTGAAAAGGATTTTTTTCTCCCCCCC